ATTAGCTGGACAACTAAAAATATATAGAAAAAATTAGCCGGGCATGGTGGCGCATGCCCGTAGTCCCAGCTACCCGGGAGGCTGAGGCAGTACGATCACTTGAGCCCAGGAGTTTGAGGTTGCTGTGAGCTAGGCTAACGCATGGCACTCACTCTAGCCAGGGCAACAGAGCGAGACTCTGTCTCAAAAAAAAAAAAAAAAAAAAGGAATGAGAGGCAGAATGGAACACTGGCAAAGCAGCTGACTGAATCAGGGACCAGGAGCCCTGGGTTCTAGTTCTAACTCAGTTGAAACCCTAACCAATTCATGATCTGGCTTAGGAAAAAATGTTTATGTGCCTCTGGAAGTTTACATATGGCTGAGTTTTATAGCTGAGAAGCTATAGTCTCAGCATCTATAAAAAAGCCAAAAAAGATGTCTGTCCAGCCTGTATTTTTTTTTAAAGTTTATTGACAACACCCCTGTCCGTAATTAGAGGGACTTTTATTTTATTTTTTTGAGAGGGGGTCTTGCTCTGTCACCTGGGCTAGAGTGCAGTGGCATCATCATAGCTCACTACAACCTCAAACTCCTGGGTTCAAGTGATCCTCCTGCCTCAGCCTCCAGAGTAGCTGGGAGAGTACAGGCATGTGCCACCATGCCTGGCTAATTTTTCTATTTTTTGTAAAATAGCCTGGGTCTTGAGCTCCTGGCCTCAAGCAATCTTCCTGCCTGTAAAGCACTAGGATTACAGGTGTGAGCCACTGTGTCCCATCCAACCTGTATTATAGAGTGCTGGAGAACAAAATTCTGTGGAAACTAAGATAAATCTTTGTTAAGTCTTGTTTTCTGGGGCTACCCGATTTATCTTGCATTTCTAAGTGTGTTTAGAAAAACAGCAACCTTCTAAACTCTAAGCCCAGGCACATGATGTTAAGGTGCTTTTTTAGAACCAATGAGAAGAAAAAGTCTCTACAAACACCACCTCACCTCCAGCTTCCACCTGAATTTAAATAAAATAAAAGCCAGACATAGGAAATAAGGCATAGAGAGAAAATATTCTACATCAAGAAACAAAAAAGTCGGGTGGGAAAGAGTTCTGGAAGAGGAAAAAGGGCCAAAGGATCATACCTTCACAGGGTGCAGTATGTACCCTCTACACTAAATTCAGGAATAAATATAGTTTAAAGAAAGTAGCACAATTTAAAGTGTGTACCATAGATACACAGCAGAGCAATCATGAGACTTTAGAGGCATACCGACAAACTAGACAATAAGAGCAGTATACCATTATTTTAAACAATTTGATTCATTCTAACGTATTTTTACAGCTACCTTATAAGAAGTGACTATTTTTCTATTAACTATAGGACGAGTACTTATAATAGTAATTCATCTTTCAATTTCAATCAGCAATGTTCAGCTTCTGGAGTGTTTTTTCTGGAACCCTTTTATTTATTCAGTTTTCTGCTAAGATGCGCAGAGCATTGCACAATATGCACCAGCAGCTTTTAAATGACCCAGAATGATTCTGAGCCAGGCTCAGCAGCATGCATCTATAGTCCCAGTTACTCAGGAGGCTGAGCCAGGAGGATTGGTAGAGTCCAAGAGTTCGAGTCCAGCCTGGGCAATATAGTGAGACCCGGTCTCAAAAAAAAAAAAAAAAAAAGAATAATGATTCTCATTAGAGATTGCATAGAGACACACAAAGAACAAAGTATCTCCTAGGCTATTTTTTTGGAATATTAAGGCTTTTTCACTGTTGCTGTTGTTTAATTTTTCAACTATAGCAATGGTAAGGGCAAGTTAGAGTTTCCCACTGGGCGTGGTCACTCATACTTATAATCCCAACACTTTGGGAGGCCAAGGTAGGAAGATCGCTTAAGATCAGCCTGGGCAACAAAGTGAGACCCTGTCTCTAAAAAAAATAAATAAAAATAAAAAGTTTCTGTTTACCCAAAGAATCACAAATAGAAGGATTTCTCTATTATGTCTATAGCAGCTCTTTAGGGATTCTTAAGATGAGTAGTTTAAGTCTCAAATTCTTTTTCTTCTCTTATTTTCAATTAGAAGGTATAATGATATTGATGAAATTATTTTTAAGTATTCTCATGGTCAAACCACAAGAACTCCTTCCCAGTTCACTTTAAATTCTATAAATCCTTAAACTAAAACAATTTGAAGCCTCCACACTGCAGAAAGAAATGTAGAGGTTCATGAACGAGACATGGTGATACCTACATAATTTATTCATTTGTTAAAAAGTATTTATCCTATATTCTCTACATAACAAACACTGAGTCAGGTGGCTGTATAATAATTTGTGAACAAGATATAGTTACAAGCGATTATCTGCCCCTATTTATAGTCTTCCACTTGTAATGAGTGTTTGTTCTCTGTAAGGTGGGGGGCAAGAGGAGAAAAGAAGATTCAAAAGACTTGATAGTTTGAAGAATAAAATGTACAGAAAAAAGAATGGTGCAATACAGGAGTGGATTCCACAGGAGACTCGGGAGGATGTCTATGCTTAAGATTTATTATTGCATTTTCTCAGCAGAGATTTGGCAAGATAAACAGAAAATGCAGATACAAAGAGGACTCCAAATAGCCTTGCATTTCTAGTAGAGCCCCTCTTTTCTCCCCACTGGCAGGAAGCAAACGCGGCGATATTTACAAAGAATGGGACAGATTTTACCTGCTCATGGTGCCCAGAGTTGGCTGCCGCTTGCTGTGAGTGGAATGAAGAGCGGAGATTTCGAAGGAGCAGGCGGAAGGCCCATGCTGACTCCAAATGGACAGCACTCTGCCCACTGAATAGGGCAGAGAACAGAAGATCTTGTCTGCTATGGAGGCTGGAGACCTCAACCCTTTCAAGCTCTGTATAAACTGGGTCATGAAGAGCCTCTGCATGGTAGGCATGTGACTGGAGAAGCTCCGTTTTTTTGTCCAGATTCGGTAACATCCTGGGGAACAAAGTGCTAGAAGTGTGTGAAGGCCAAGGACAGAGCAGTCTGCTCTGGTCTGGACTATGGCAGTGCCTCCATAGTCTTGGAGAGAAGCTGGAGGCTGTGGAGGAGCCTGAGTGTGTGCCTGACTATGGAGGCCAGTGTCTTTCCTGAATGTGGCCATCCCAGGGCAACCGTGGGACAAGAAGAAAGAAAAGGTCCACTTGGGAGGCTGTGACGGGCACTGGGGAGCCTCTCCTAAGGCAAGCCTTGCTGGAGCACAGTGCTCAGGAAAAGTCCTTGAGGACTCAGTCATGCAATCTGAGCCTGATTTCGCATGAAAGGATACTGGGAAGATTTCGGAACCAAACGGCAGCGATGGCATCTTGTTGCTCAAATCTATGAAGCTCATTTTGATGGCTTCAAGAGAATAAAGTGCCAAGGGCTTACTGTTAGGCCTCTTATCCCATCCACTAGCTGCCAAATATGGATTCAGCTGCAGTGTGTTGTATGAAAATCCATCCAGGAGCCGTTTATATCTGAGACGCTTGTAGGTTTTAGCCATTGGAAGAAGTTCAGAGGAACATCGCCGATATCTCAGTTTCTGGGTGGTCTTTGTGGCTGGGGCCAGTTTGGAGGCAAGGATGGACAGCTTGTTTAGTAAGGCTGATTCTTTGGTAGGCTTCCTAAAATTCAGGCTCCTCAAGGGATGGCATGGTGTAGCCTTCTGCTTTGGTATGTGGCTAATTAAGCTCCTGGCAGGTGGTGTTTTGGGTTCCAATCGTGTAGATGCAGACACAGCACTTGAACTAAGCAGTCTGTGTACTTTTGTGGGGATGGGATCAGAGGAACTCTTTAAAAAGGCAGAACTTCTGATTTTGCTTATTTTTCTCCCCACACTGACTTGCTCCTGACACAAAACTTTCTTACATGTCCGATGAGGCTGCTTCTTTAAAAGAAGTACTTTTTTCTTTGCAAAGGCACCATGTATCTGATCACACCCAGCAGTGTTGGGGTCTTGTGCTTTCCTGGGGGCACCAGGAAGACAAGGACCTGTGCATGATTCAATGTCCTTCTTTAAAGGATGGCATAAGTTTTCTTCCTTTTGGTTTTCCAACTTCTGAATAACTGCAGCAACGTCCCCCTTGGCCAGCTTTGCTAAGGTGATTTCTTTCATCATGGTGGAATCATCTCTGTCATCAACCTTAGGTTGGTTCTTGTTTTGGGTATCGTCTAACAACATGTTGGAGGATACACATTGTTCCGATATTGTATGTGCTTTTCGATGTATATATTCCTCTTCCTTCTGCAACATGCAGTCCAAAACCCTCTGGTTTTGGTGTTTTCTAGCAACACCAAGCATCCTTTGGCATTTAAAGTGGGTCTGAGAAATCTTGCTCACATTATCACTAGCATTATCTCCTCTGATAATCATCTCTTCAGATTCCTCCCCAACAGTTAAGTGACCCAGTGGTCCCCTCTGATGTTCTTCAGTTTCTTCTCCTGTCACTTTAGGTACCATTTCCATTGTCAAAGGCAAATGTCTATATGTGGCATTCTCACAAGGATGACAAGCTTTGCAGGCATTCTTTTCCACGCTGACATATATGCTGCCTTCTCCACCAGAATTATTTATGTCTCTTGATATTCCTTCCTTCATCTCAGGCAGGACCGTGCAGTCCTTTACATTTTCACAAAGCATTTCATCGAATCTCGGTTTAAAAACAGTTTTCAGGTCAGTTTCTTCACTATTAATATTAGTTTCTGAATTTTCTTGAGAAGACAGACACAAAGGCATTATCTCAACAGATTCCAGGCTCCCTAGGGAAAAAGGGTTCTCATCTTGGCATCTAGAAGATGTCGGCTCTTTCAAGGAAATTTCAGTGATATTTTCTTTGCAGAATTCAGAATATATTTCTAGTCTTGATCCTTCAGTCATTTCTTGTGTTTCTCTCAGAGATGCTCCTTTACTTTGCTGTTCATGAAGATTATAATTTAAAGACACATTTACTCTATCCAATATTCTTGTATTTGGTTCATGATCTGAAACAGACTCTATCTCCTGGGCACAAGACTCTGGACAGTTTTCCATTTCACAGTCTTTTAAAGATCTACATGCTTTCTCTTCATATGATTTTTTTATTTCAAGAGATCCCACTGTAGAATCAGCAGCATCTGGGAAATCGGAGTCCTGGTCAGTCATTCCTACAAATGCAGCATTCAGTTCTCCTCTCTGAGACAAGGTACTTCTAGAGGTTTCCTTAAATGCCAGTCCACCTTGCCTTCTACCACTATCAAGTGTACTAGTTGCTTTCATGTCCGGCATGCCTTCTGTAGGCTTATTACTACCGTCTGTGTTGATGGTAGCCACCATACCATCTGTGGACTCTTCACAACCAGAAATATTTTCACAGTCTCCTTTCAAATCATCTTTCTTTGGTCTCCCACAAGACTGTGGGTTATTACTGCCTGAAATGACCAGCAGATCCTTCTGGTGGTGGCGTACCTCCCTGTTAGGCTCTGTGACAGTCTCTCTCTGGTCACCACCCAGTGTCTCCTTAGCTGGTTTATCTTCATTTCTGCATTTGTCAGGTCTGTTTTGATTACTCTGGCAGTCAAGGACTTCATTTGCCTGATCAAGGGTTTCCACTGCTTTGTTCATGTTTCTAAGGTTGGAGAAGGTAACAGTAGGAGACTGGTCCAACAATATTTCAGGACTTGGAATGTTTACAGATTGGTGTAGTTCTTGCGTGGCACAATCAGAGATGTTATACTTACAAAATACAGTCTCTTTGGATATATCCTGTTTCATTCCTTCTAATTTTTCCTCACTGGGTGTGATGTGACTGGTGGTAAGAACAGTTTTGTTTGAAACTCCACTATTTAATGTGCCTGCTGTCATCTCATTTCTGATCTCATCTCCTGGAAGGCTGCCTTTAGTTTTTCTCCCATCAGGTTCACTTGCCTCTGATGTATAACTCACTTTATGGCTGCTACCTTCCACAGAGTCTTCTGTTCCTTGGGAGTGGTTAGTGCTGTGCTGAACTGCATTTTCACATTTTGTTATCAAAGAGTTATCAACTTTCAGGCTGATTCTGCTGGATTCAAAAGCAGCACAAACAGAATGCATGTTCTCTTCTGGTGCATTTTTTCCTACACAATGACAGCTAGACATATCCTGAGATTGAGCATTGTGACGTTCTGTAACAGAGACCACTTGAGGAAAGCTAGCTACTTCTTTCTTACTTGAGAGAAGCCTGGAATGTAGATCTTTTGTTCTTGAATCAGCCATTTCTTTTTTTCTCTCTAGGTTTTCTGGTTTGATGTTTAAGGTGAGACTGTTTGAAGAGGCACCACAGGTTTTGTTACCTGGTGGAGAGATGTCCTTCATTTTTCTCTTAATGGGAATGGTCTGAGTATTAGCAAGGACATCTGCTCCATCCTCTAATGGAGGGTGATGGCTCTGTTGGGCATCTTTGCTTTTTGCTAAAGGCATCTCTTTGTTTATATTTTGTAGAAAGTCAGTTGGCAACTTTGTGTGGTCTGGAGAATTAAGGGACACTTGTTGATTTAAAACACATTCACTTTCTACTTTGTTTACAACAAGTTCATCAGTACAAGAAAGTTTATTCATCTCACAGGCAATGCTCTGTTCATCTAAATGTGGAATATTGTCAGGTCTGTAATCAAATTCTGGGGATGGTGGCAACTGAACAATATCTTTGCTGGGTTTTAAAACCTCATTTATAGGACTTATCTGATCCTCTGGCATTAAACTCACAAGAGATTTTCTTTCAAACAGAAAATCATTACATGATGCTTCATTTAAATGGGTGTCACCTTCCAGATTTCTCTGGATGTTGACTAAGGAGTTAGAGTCTTTACAGTAAATCTTTTCATGTAACATATTGGGCTCTATAGTGGTTATCTGTTCTGGCTCTTCAACCTGCTTCGAGGAGGAAAAATTGCTTTTTTCAGAGTGTTCACCTGCATGGCTCATGTTAACAAAAGTTTCTCTATGGTCCTCAGAGTTTGTCGAGTTATCTTGAATGTCTAAAGCAATTTTCAAATCACTTTTTTTAAACATTACTTCTGTGGCTTCAGGAAAAGAATTGGGCATTAATGAACCACATCTCTCTGTATGGAGACTGCCTTGAATGCAATAGTTATTGTGGATATTTTCTTTTGGGGAATCAACAGTCTTTTTTCCACCAGAACAATGATGACCAATCTCCTTTTCTGGCTGTGTGGCATTAACAGGAAAGAGTTCCCCTCTTTCACTCCTGGGATTCCAACATTGTTCTTCATTTTCTTCTCTAGAAGTCGAGTTCTTGTTTTGATCATCCCCATCAAAACAGGAATTGTCTGTCGTTTCGGCAGATCCCTTCAGCAAACCATCTCCTTCAAAACCACATTTTTCTAAGGAAAATGTTCTGGATTCTGGACCAGACAAATCTGATGTGAAACATGAAACTTCAGAATTTTCTTCCAAGGGTTCTATAGCAACTACATTTCTTCTGGCTATGGGACCATCAGGCGCAGAACTCTGTTTTTCATGATGGTGGCCATGAATCTGTGGGTGATTGTCAGCTGCTTCACAGACAAGGTTAAATTTACACAACTCTTCCTTCCCACTGTCCACTTTGCAAATGGCACTGTTCCCTGGTAATAATGACAACCAAGAAGTTTTTAATTCTTCACAGTCTTTCTCTTTAGGAGTTGCTTCTGTTAATCCAGGGTCCGCAAAGGTTAAAGGCTCTAGGGTAACCAATCTGCTGGTTTCTGAAATCTCACCACTGGCCATGATTTTGTCTACTTCTGGGTACTCGCTGCACCCTGCTGAGAGACCTTTACTCACGTTGCCATTCTTGTGTCCTTCATTATTATTCCTCTTAGTCCCATTGACCTTCATACCTTGTACTTCTTCAATGGATTTTAGCAGAGTTTCAGTTGTAATTTGTACATTTCCTTCTGTGCAAAAGAAATAAATCCAAATCAGTATGTAATCGTAAAAACAAATTTGTTTGCTATACCTCTATGAATTTTATCATGCTACAAGCAATAACAACAACAAAGATCCAACTGAAAAAGAGAATTACAGTTACTGCACTATACCACTGATTTCACTTTTCTCTGCAAAATACGACAGAGTGCTAAAAGTATATTTGCCAGTAACTGGTAATTTTCTTTTCTTTTCTATTTTTTGAGACAGGGTCTTGCTCTGTTGCCTGGGCTAGAGTGTAGTGGCATCAACACAGCTCACTGAACTCCTGGGCTCAACCAATCCTCCTGTCTCAGCTTCCCGAGTAGCTGGGACTATATGCACGTGCCACCACGCCCAACTAATTTTTATTTTTTTGTAGAGACGGGCTCTTGCTATGTTGCTCAGGCTGGTCTCGAACTCTTGACCTCAAGTACTCCTCCTGCCTTGGCCTTCCAAAATGTGATTATAGGCATGAGCCACTGTGCCCTGCCAGAAACCAGTAATTTTCAACAAATGCCTTTCTCTAAATGTTATACAGCATTCAACTGAAAACTACATGGAGACATATGCCTAATTCAGTCTTAAGAAGCTTCCATTTCAAAACATTAATAGAGCGGATTCAAAATATAACAGCTTACAGTATTAGATGACCATATATCTCATTATTTGAACTTATATAAGTCATAGATAAAATTACTTTGAAGAAAAACAATTATTCATAAAACTTAATATAAAAGAGATTAATCTATAAATTGAATATTAGCCTTGAAGTCAATTATCTACTACAATTGGCTTTCTACAAGGTTGAGCTGATAATTATTGAAGCTACATGACAGATACATGGGGGTTTAATAAAGTCTTTCCACGTTCAAATATGTTTGAAAATTCCCGTTATGAAACATTAAAAATCAAAAACCTTTCTAAGAATATAAATACAATTCATAAAGAATTTTTCCTGCAGTTTCTCTGAAATTCTAGGTACAAGATGTAGTTAGTATAAAGAAGTTCCCCAAACTTGTTAATCTATACCCACACACAAAAATATTTTCATCCCTCCTCCCCTTTTAGAAAAACAAATCCAAAGCGATACACGTGCATGTGTATATAGGTGTGTGTGTGTGTGTGTATGTATGTATGTAACAAGATACCTGCACTAAACAAATTAAGCAAAATGCAAATCAATTTAAATATCCAATCCCTATTAGCATGTAAACTCCATGAGGGTAAAGATCTTGTTTGTTTTGTTCTCCTCCCTATTGTCCAGCATAATGCCTGGTATACAACAGTATTCAATAAATATTTGTAAAATTAAGGAATATAGTTAGGTCAAATCAACAAATGCTATTAACAGTGAGTTTCTGGGGCTCCCTAATCCATTTTTCAATAGGTTCTAAGAGCAGCAATTACCAAGAGCCATGACTATGAAGCCAGACCATCTTCGACTCGATCTTGGCTCTGTGATGCTTACTTCTCTGAGTTTCTTCCTTTGTAAAAAGTGGGGGAAGTACACTAACCTCAGTGCTATACTGAGGACTAAATTAAATAATACACATAAAAACATAAAATACCGGCCGGGTGTGGTGGCTCACGCCTGTAATCCTAGCACTCTGGGAGGCCAAGGTGGGAGGATCATTTGAGCGCAGGAGTTCGAGACCAGCCTGAGCAAGAGCGAGACCCCGTCTCTACTAAAACAAACAGAAAGAAATTAACTGGAAGACTAAACATATATGTATAAAAAAATTAGCTGGGCACAGTGGCGCATGCCTGTAGTCCCAGCTACTCGGGAGGCTGAGGCAGTAGGATCGCTTGAGCCCAGGAGTTTGAGGTTGCTGTGAGCGAAGCCGATGCCATGGCACTCTAGCTCGGGCAACAGAGTGAGACTGTCTCAAAAAAAAAAAAAAAAAAAAAAGGGGGGGCTTTGTGTATATTAACTCATCTGATTTTTACAATAATCCTTTGCAATATGTGCCATCTTTATCCCCATGTTACAGATAAGGACCAGGCCAGTGTTGCACAGCCTTTTTGTTTGTTTGCTTATTTGTTCAGGCCCATTCATGCGATGTGGTATTCCACAGCCTTTTGAAAACTTTCTAATAAAAATAAAATTGCCTCAAACTCTCATTTTACAGTTCTTTGAAATTTCAAAATAAATGTGATTAAAAATAAGTCAAAAGAATGGGCAGAGTATCGTTTTGCTTTCCAGCTGTACACAAGCCTTCCCCACCCATCCTTCTGCTACCCTGCCTGGGAAGTGCCTGTTCCTCTGGCACATATTGCAAAGGATTACTGTAAAAATTAGATGAGTCAATATACACAAAATTCTCTATTTTTTTTAGTAGAGACAGAGTCTCACTCTGTTGCCCGGGCTAGAGTGCCGTGGCATCGGCCTCGCTCACAGCAACCTCAAACTCCTGGGCTCAAGCAATCCTACTGCCTGAGCCTCCGGAGTAGCTGGGACTACAGGCAAGCACTACTATGCCCCGTTAATTTTTTATATACATTTTTAGTTGTTCAGCTAATTTATTTCTATTTTTTAGTAGAGACAGGGTCTCGCTCTTGCTCAGGCTGGTCTCAAACTCCTGAGCTCAAACAATCTGCCCACCTCAGCTTCCCAGAGTGCTAAGATTATAGGCATGAGCCATCACACCTGGCTACATGAAGCTCTTAAAAGTGCCAGCAGAGAATCCATCTTTAGTTTGTGCTAGCCACTCTTATTAGGCCTTTGGCAGTCTATTCCCTTGGACAACGTCTCTACCAAACCTTTGTAATAATTTGTAATACTTTGTTTCTTGATTCTTTAATATAGCACTCTCATGAGACCGAGCTATTTGAGGGCAGAAACTAGACCTTTTTCTTTTTTTTGAGACAGGGTCTTGCTCTGTTGCCTGGGCTTGAGTGCAGTGGTGTCATCACAGCTTGCTGCAACCTCAGCCTCCTGAACTCAAGTGATCATCCTGCCTCAGCTTCCTGAGAAGTTGGGACTACAGGTGTGTGCCACCATGCCTGGCTTATTTTTCCACTTTTTGTAGAGATGGGGTCTTGCTCTTGTCAGGATGGTATCAAACTCCTGGCCTCAAGGGATCCTCCTGTTTGAGTCTCCCAAAGTGCTAGGATTACAGGCGTGAGCCACTGTGCCTGGCCTAGAAACTAGATCTTAACGATTGCTGTGGACTCAGTATTTGGCATCGATCTCGGTACATCGTAGGTACATATGAATGTTAGCTCGCGCAGTGGGTATATGAAAAAATGTTAAACATCCTTAGTCATCACAGAAATGCAAAAAATCAAAACTCCAATGAGATATCATCTCACTCCAGTTAAAATGGCTTTTATTCAAAAGACAGGCAATAATGAATGCTGGCAGGGATGTGAAGAAAGGGGAATCCTCGTACACTGTTGGTGGGAATGTAAATTAGTGCAATCACTATGGAGAATAGTATGGCGTTTCCACAAAAAACTAAAAAGAGAACTACCATATGATCCAGCAATCCCACTGCTATATATATCCAAAAGAAAGAAAATCAGTATATCAAAAAGGTAACTGCCCACGCATGCTTACTGCAGCACTATTCACAATTTCCAAGATTTAGAATCAACCTAAGTGTCCACCAACAGATAAATGGATAAAGAAAATATCGTACATATACACAATGGAATATTATTCATTCATAAAAAGAATGAAATCCTGTCATTTGCAGCAACATCAATGGAACTGGAGACCACTTTGTTAACTGAAATAAGCCAAACACAGAAAGACAAATTTCACATGTTTTCACTCCTATGTGGGAGCTAAAAAGTAAAACAATTGATCTCATGGAGACAGAGAATAAAATGGTTACCAGAGGCTGGAAAAGGTAGCAGTGAGGGCAGTGGGGATGGTTAATGGGTACAAAAATATAGGTAGGAAGAATGAACAATTTTTTTCTTGAAGAGTCAGGGTCTTGCTCTGTCACTGGGATGGAGTGCAGTGGTTAAGAGAGCTCACTGCAGTCTTGAACTCCTAGGCCCAAGTGATCCTCCTGCCTCAGCTTCCTGAGTAGCTAGGACTACAGGTACATGCCACCACGCACAGTTAACTAAAAAAATTTTTTCTGTAGAGATAGCGTCTCACTATGTTGCCCAGGCTGCTCTCAAACTCCTGGGCTCAGGCAATCCTTCCACCTTGGTCTCCCACAGTGCTGGGATTACAGGCATGAGACACTGCACCAAAGCAGAATGAACAATATTTGACAGCACAACAAAGTGACTATAATCAACAATCTGTTATGGTATACTTTAAAATAACTAAAAGAGTGGAGTCAGAATGTTCCTAACACAAAGGAAGGACAGATGGATTCTTGAGGTGATACCCCAAATTACCCTGATTTGATTATTACACATTATATACCTGTATCAAAACCTCACATATACCCCATAAATACATACATTATGTACCCATAATAATAACAAAATTTCAAAAAAAAAAAAGAAAGAAAGAAAGAAAGAAACAAAGAAGAACCTAAGAACATTAAAAAAAATGTTAGCTGAATGAAAAATTAGAAGATTAGGGCCTAGGGGCCAGGCACAGTAGCTCATGCCTATAATTCTAGCACTTTGGGAGGCCAAGGCAGGAAGATTACTTGAGCTCAAGAGTTCAAGACCAGCCTGAGCAAGAGCAAGATCCCGTCTCTACTAAAAAATAAAAATAAAAAATAAATAATTAAAAATTTAGCCAGGTATGGTGGGGTGCGAGCCTGTAGTCCCAGCTACCAAGGAGGCTGAGGCAGGAGGATCACCTGAGCCCAAGAGTTTGAGGTTGAAGTAGTGAGCTATGACGACGACACTGCACTCTAGCCCGGGCAACAGAGAAAGAGAGACCTTGTGTCAAAAAAAAAAGGAATGAAGAAGTGATATATGCTACAACATAGGTGAACCTTAAAACCTTTATGTCGGGGGGCAGGGGAAAGGTGGAAATAAATAAATAAAAATTAAAAAAAAAAAAAAACCC